TTGACTCAACAAGGGCCCATGACCAGGTCATGTGACTCTGGACTCCATCTTGCGCGCTCTGTATTTTTCTACCCACTGGTCTGGAAACCAAGCTTGGGAACAAAGGGTTCCTACCTGATGCTGAAACTATAGAAGGCAGGGAGCTATAGAGGTGACTGGTCCGGGGAAACCCAGGGGGTCACCAGCCACATGACCCCACCCCCGGCCCTCAACACAGTCCCCAGTTCTCTCCTCTCTGCTCCACTTCATGCTAAACTTGTTCGGCCTCTGCTCTACCACTACTCCTCCTATTCTCCACCTCTTTCCCATCCTTGCTGAATTTCCAGTCCACCTTTTCTCTGAACCAAGGCAGCTCAGGGTATCAGCAGGACCAATACTAGGAGAAGGTGTCCACCGTCACAATTTGTCCAGATCATTTTGAATTATGACTCTATCCTCCAAAGCACTTGCAGCCCCTCCTGGCTTGGCATCATCTGCAAACTTTATGAGTGTTCTCTCCATGCCAATAAATGTCATTGATGAAGCTATTGAACAGAATTGGTTCCAAAACTGACCCCTGCAGAACCCCGTATGGTATGTCCTTCCAGCATGACTGTAGCCTATTGATAACTACTCTCTCAGGGCATGTCTACACTCCAGTCTTATTTCGAAATAACTCATGTTATTTTGAAATAGCAAGGTGAGTGTCCACACTGAAAGCCCACTATTTCAAAATTGTTTTGAAATAACAAACTTCTTGCTCTGGAATGAAAAGCCCTCATTTCATGAGGAGTAATGCCTATTTTGAAACAGCGGTAGCGTAGATGCTGTAGTGTAGGCTTTTGTTCCAATGAAATCACTGGAACGTCATTGGATTTGCACCAGCTGGGAAGCAGACCCTTGTGTGTAACTCAGGGCTATTCAATACATGTCCTGCGGATGGGAGCCAAAACAAAAAAAGTAGCCAATATCAACAGAAATAGGTCTTCTGTTGATATGTGTTTTGGTAGTTAAATTCCTGGACTGTCATCGCTCATTAAAAGTGCTGTTATATGGGTAGAAATTGTGTAAATGTTGCATTTTATTAATATCAGCAGAACTGACTCAAATGGGGCCAGTGTCTTGTGTAGTCTTACCTTAATCTTTGAACTCATGCCTGTCAGCGGGAAAGAAGCTATGTGTATAGATTTGCATATATATTTGCATGAACATGCAGTGACTCTTACGTTGCGGCCCTCTGCTTGTTCTGTACGTATCACTGTGGCCCCAGGGCTTCCAAAGTTGAGTTGCCATGATGTAACTGAACACAGCATGATGACCTCCATATTACATCTTAACATCAGAAGGTGCATCTATGACATGTCACGTGGCCAAGAAACATGGACCAGATCACAGATGAGCCTCACTGCCCACAGGCTGATTGTGGGTGGAACCTCAGATCTGAAGCACCAGTGGGGGGGTGGCCATTGAACGTTAGAGGCTGTGAAAATCCTCATGTCTGGTGAGCTGAAATTCCGGCAGCTCCTGTGCACCCTGGCTGTCCTGCTGATGGTTTCTTTGATGCTTCTCTCTCTGCTCTGACTTGCACTCTGTCAGTTTAATGCCCCAATCCCGCAAATACGTATGCCCTTTCGTGTATCACCGGACCCCACCTAAGCCACAGAGGGTGTATCTAGACTACAGGGTTTTGTCAAAAAAAGTGGTAAACAATACCTGCATCTACACTACCGCTGTGTTCTGTCGACAGTAAGTCGACAAAGAGCATCGGTTTTGTCGATGGTGGTAAACCTCATTTTACGAGGAATAATGCCTTTTTTCGATAGACTTCTGTTGAAAAAAAAGGTGCTATATGCAGAGAGAGAGAGAGAGATGGGATGTATGAGGGTAGATAGATAGATAGATAGATAGATAGATAATTGTAATGATTCCATGAGATTTATTCTTTAATATACTGGTTTGTCAAACTATACTGATAAATACTTTTATGACTATAACACATGTCTCTCTCGGTTGAGAGATGCTCCTGTGACACTGTCTACTCTGAGATACAAGGAGGAGGGAGAAAAATTTCTCTCCTTGGCATCTGAGGACAGGACAAGAAGCAATGGGCTTAAACTGTAGCAAGGGAGGTTTGGATTGGACATTAGGAAAAACTTCCTACCTGTCAGGGGGTATGTCTACACTACAGCGCTAATTCGAACTAACTTAGTTCAAATTAGTTAATTCGAACAAAGCTAATTCGAACTAACGCGTCTTGAACTAAAAACTAGTTAGAATTAGCGTTTTGCTAATTCGAACTAGCATGTCCACATTAAGTGGACCCTGAACCGGGCTTAAGGATGGCCGGAAGCAGTGCCGGCAGGGCATCAGAGGAGGACTTAGAGCGTGGAGATGCTGTCTCAGGCTAGCCGAGGGCTGCGCTTAAAGGGACCCGACCCCCACCCCGGACAGACAGTTCTCAGGGGTGCCCCGCTTGCAAAGAAGTTCTGGCTTGGAGTGCCCGGAGTACCCACACTGGGCACATCACACCACTCAGCCATCAGCCCGGCTGCACTTGCCGCAGGCTGCCATCTGGGGAGAGGGAGCAATTGGGGGGCTGCAGGAGAGCTTCCACCCCCAGAAGCCCGCAGAGCCAGCCCAGTCCTCCCCATTGGGGGCTCATGCCCCATTCCTCCCTCACCTCCTTCTACTTACCCTTCCCTAGCCCCTCTTTTTGATGTACAAAATAAAGGACAATTGTGTTCAAAAATGGAATCTGTCTTTATTGAACAAAACTGGGGGAGACTGGGAAAAGGATGTGGGAGAGGGGAAGAGAGAGGTTGGGAGGGGGGAGGGCAACTAAAATGATCAGGGGTTGGGAACAGGTCCCATATGAAGAGAGGCTA